CCATAGCCACCTGGTCCAGGGAGCCCTATCTGTGCTGCTCTGGGGCTTTCGTTGCCTTGCAAGGTGTCCTGTGGGTTGAAGGCAGACCCTGCTCCCTGCTGTGGTGGTTGAAGATTAGAGATGCTCCTAGTCCTGACGCTCCGGCCAATTGCCAGCAGCCTTTGCTTATGGCTTGGGGGCAGGAAAAGATGACCCTTCTCACCAACCTCAGCTGGGATCATTCTACACCACCACAGGTGAAGGTGCTGGTGTTACCGTTAGCATCTCTATGTTTGCACAGGCACACCCGTGTGTGTGTACACATACATGAAAAGACACACAGAGCCATTGCCCCAGAGGGATTCCCCATAGTTCAAGGTGCCTGGGACAGGAGATTTTGTAGCCTGACACATGCTGGGACAAGCCCACCTTGAGAAGGACATGTCCTTGGGGGTTGAACTTGCATCATCGTCTAGATTTCATCATCCCTCATGGGCCTTTCCCCTGGTGTGACTGCCAGTCTGCTGGTCGTGTAGGGCCCTGCTACTACCCACTGAGATGTTCTAATAACATTAAACTTCAAAAGGAAAGGCCCAGGGGCTCCATTTCTACACCTTCTAAGTAGCCATATCTAGATGTATATTGGTAAACAGTCTTTGTCATCGCCTCTCCCCGCAATGTCCTGTTTTACTTTTCTATCAAAACCAACCTTAACTAGGAGGAACCCTGGAGATACCTACTGTGAAACAAAGAAAGTCTCTTTTTCTATTTTCTTTTTCTTTTTTTTTGAGATGGAGTCTTGCTCTGTCACCCAGGCTGGAGTGCAGTGGTGCGATTTCGGCTCAGTGCAACCTCCACCTCCCGGGTTCAAGCGATTCTCCTGCCTCAGCCTCTCAAGTAGCTGGGACTACCACTAGCCCACCACCACGTCTAGCTAACTTTTGTATTTTTAGTAGAGGTTTCACTATATTGGCCAGGCTGTTTTCAAACTCTTAACCTTGTGATCCACCCGCCTTGGCCTCCCCAAGTGCTGGGATTACAGGTGTGAGCCACTGCACCCGGCCAAGAGCATCTCTTTTTTTTTTTGAGATGGAGTTTCATGCTTGTTGCCCAGGCTGGAATGCAATGGCACGATCTCGGCTCACTGCAACCTCCATCTCCTGGGTTCAAGCAATTCTCCTGCCTCAGTCTCCTGAGTAGCTGGGATTATAAGTACCCACCACCACTCCTGGCTAATTTTTTTGTATTTTTAGTGGAGACAAGGTTTAGCTATGTTGGTCAGGCTGGTCTTGAACTCCTGACCTCAGGTGATCCACCCACCTCAGCCTCCCAAAGTGCTGGGATTACAGGTGTGAGCCACTGCGCCCGGCCCCAAAAGCATCTCTTTTAAGGGCTCACTGTGACGTTAATGTGACCATTTCTCTTGCTTAATTCTCTTTTCTTCACCAAACAATCCATTACATGGGTTATGGTTTTATTTGTGTAAGTGGTCATTTTCAACCTTGCTTTTTAGAAACAGAACTATTCTTCCAAAGAAAATTTTATAGAAGATCATAGTATTAAAACTATAAAGTATTAAAATATAAAGTATTAAATATAAAGTATTAAAATATAATATAAAATGTTTATATTTATAAAAATAATTTAATATAAAAATATCAATTTAATGTAAAGTATTAAAAATATAAAGTGTTAAAAATATAAAAGTGACTGGGCAAGTGCCAGCCTCCCTCAGCACTTTGGGAGGCCGAGGCGGGTGGATCACCTGAAGTCAGGAGTTCGAGACCAGTCTGGCCAACATGGTGAAACCCTGTCACTACTAAAAATACAAAAATTAGCCCGGTGTGGGGGCAGATGCCTGTAATACCAGCTACTTGGGAGGCTGAGGCAGGAGAATCACTTCAACCCAGGAGGTAGAGGTTGCAGTGAGCCAAGATTGTACCATTGCACTCCAGCCTGAGCGACAGAGCGAGACTCTGTCTCCAAAAAAAATGTAAAAGCGGCTTGTTTGGAAGTGTGGGGGATGGGGGTCCTGAGTTCTGCTCTCTTGCCCCATTGTTTTTCCTCTGCAGAACCCTAGGGCCTTGAGGACACCATTTGAAAACTATTCATAGAGAACATGGCATCCTAGAATGAGAAATCCGCATCTGGTACTGACAGCCAGGGTTCCTAGCTTTCAGCAGAGAGGGAACTTATTAAAAATAGATAGGATAGCATCGCTCACCCCACCCCTGAGAGGGAGAGATGACAAACTTGGAGGTAGGAAGAACGACCTGGATTCACAATGCAGTGAAGATACTGCTGCTGCCGGACACAGCAACCCTGACTCATATCACTAGACATGGGACCTGGCTGGGGGGCTTGTACCAGGGAGCCTGGACATGGGACCCTGCTGCTGGGGCTATGGCTGCAGGGCTTCTGGAGAGTCTGTGTTGGTGGGACTCCAATTGCTGCCCCCCAGCCACTGAAATGGAGCCTGCCCCAGTTTCTGATTCACAGTTTGAGGCAGGAGTATCTCACTGGAAGATCTTGCATCACGGGCTTGTACCTTAGCTTTAAGGAAGGATATGGAAGGGCATACATGGTATTTTCGTTTCTGTAATTTGAAGTAGCTCTACCTAATAAGACCAAAAACTCTCCAAAAGGAGAAGGAGGTTCAGATGCTAAGTGAGGAGGAAATAATGACAAAGCTTACTACAGGAACTCTGGCAAATTGCTTTATCTCTGAGCATTATTCCTCTAGGAAAAATAATGGCCCTTCTAAGTCATCCATCCATCCATCCATCCACCCATCCATTTATTCATCCACAGCAAACATCTAGTAAGTTCTAGATATCTATTGTTGCTTAAAAAACGACCCCAGCTTAGTGGCTGAAACAATCATTTCAAGGTATCTCATGACTTTTATTGGTAAGAAACTCACACAGGACTCAGCTGGCTGATTCTGCTCCCTGTGGAGTCAGTTGGAGTCCTTTGAGATATTTAAATAGCAGCTGATCTGATCTGGACTGGTCAAAATGGCTTTGCTGACTTATCTGATCCCTTGACGAGGAAGGCTGGAAGGCTGGACTCTGCTGGGCTCCACTCCCTCTCCATGTCGTCTTAGGCCTTTCCACAGGGACTCATCAGCAGGGTAGCTGGGCTTCTTACATGAAAGCTCAGGGCTCCAAGACAGCCTCCAACTTTGCCTTAAGTCTAGGCTCAGAGGTGTCATAATGTCAATTCCACCATACTCAGTTGGTCAAAACAGTCACAGGCCCAGAATCAAAAGGGGAAATAAAATATATAGACATCACCTCTGGATGGGAGGCATCAGTGAATTTGCAGTAAGAGCCTTTAATCCATTGTAAGAACCAACCATGTGCCAGACATAGTGTTAAGAGGGGGAGATACAAAACCAAGACATGGCCCTGTCTTCAAGGAGCTTGCAGTCATACAAGGTTACAAATGAAGGCAGTTAATGAGATCAATGTCAAGAAGCATTGTAAATTGTAAAACAATTTTAATATAAAGGATTGCTTTATCTCTGAGCTTTATTCCTAAATAATCCTAAAACTAGGATCTAACAAACCCCTCTAATGCTCTCAAGTATCAGTTACTATTTGTTGACTGTTCACCAAGAATCAGACACTCAGCTAAGAATTCTTTTGGTATAATTGTTCTGAATTCTTAAACCAATCCCACTGCAGCAATTTCTGTGTGCCAAAGCCTTGCCCATGCTTCTTGTTTGATGACATGATATCTTGAGTTTGGTCTTATATCAGCACCCACCACTTTACCTATTGATGCCACTTAATAGAGGCTTCTCGAGATGCCCACACAGGCCTCTAGCCACTTAAGGAGAGATTTTCAATTTACGGTGACCCAACCAACCACTCGTTAGGTGCTCTGATCTGTTCCTCTCACAATTATTACTTTAATTTGCTGCCCTCTCTCGGGCCATGAGGCGACCAGCTTGCAGGCTGCAAGGCAGACAGTTAAAGACATATATAAAAGTGCATGTGCTCTATTAACAAAACTTACTAAATTCCTGCTGTGTTTGGGGAACTAGACCACGGAGCACTGTGAGCCAACACAGTTCCTGCCTCAGAGAATAGTCATGCAGACAAGATTGTAAAACTTTTCATTAGTTTTACCTGATTGATAAAATTAAAATGCAGAAAATCAGAAAAACAAAAAAGCAGTTAGTCATAATCTCACTATCCAAAAACGGTGCTATTCATATTTTGATATATTGCCTTCTGGTTATTTCTTTATTTATTTTTAGTTTTAAGAAAATTATAGACTTCATTTTTTAGAACAGTTTAAAGTTTATAGTAAAATTGAGCAGCTAGAACAGCTGTTTCCCTCTGCCCTGCTTCCCTGCACATAGTTTCCCCTATTATTAGCATCTTGTAACAAAGATCTTGTATTAGTGCCATATGTTTGTTACAATTAGTGAACCAATATTCATGTATTATTATTAAATAAAGTCTATCATTTACTTTAAGGTTTCTTCTCTGTGTCGGACAGTTCTGTGGGTTTTGACGAATGCAGGTCGGTATCCACCATTTCAGTATCCTGCAGAATAGTTTCAGCATGTATCTTGTGTGCTGTCAGCCCCCACCATTGTATGCTCCTGCCTGCAGCTTTTTTTTCTTGTTTCTTTATTTTTCATATGTGAGCCTAACACAAGCCTTCCTTTATGCTATTGTACCCTCGCTCCACATGCTTATAAACTCTCATAAACATCATGGGATACACCATCCTCTGCTTAACCATGCCCCTGATGTTGGACATTCATGTCTATGGCAAGCGTTCACTTATCATATAGGATATTTTAAAATCATTTCATGGAAATAGATTTCCAGGATCTAGATAGCATTCAGGGGAAAAATAATTTAGAAAGAAACAGCATTGTGTGGTGTCCCCCGGCACCTCCCAGACAAAAGGCTTTTGTCTGAAGGTTGGAGGCTGCGCTGTCTTGGCCTAGTGAGTGCCAGCTTCCGCGTGGCTGCCCCGCACCCTTGGGAAGGCTGTCGCGGGACAGTGCTGGCCTGGGTCTTAGCTTCCCTGCTCCTGCAGGAGGACTGGGCTTCCTCATTCATTCCCTTCTTACTCTCATCCATCAGCACCTTTAAACCGAAACCTGGAACTATGGTATTCTCTTTGGTTCTTAGAACGGGTTGGCTTAATGGGGGAAATATTAATAGCACTGGTGTCAATGGAAGTGACCTTGAGCCACATAGGAAGATTTTGATAAAACGTGTCACTCTTGTTACCTATCAGGATCAAACTGCATCATGGAAGCTGCACACGATGACACCCTGTCTGCAAAGTTTTTGCCAGAGGGCAAAAGACTGCAAGCAGAATATCCCTTCGCCATTTCTCATGTAAGTGCATGCCAGAACTAATAAGAATAATATGAGAATGAGAGGTGTTTTTTTTTTTTTTTTTTTCTGTGAAACTGATAACCATAAAATTCGATACCTAGAGTCCTGGAGTGTAACAGCTCCTTCTCGTACATTAGCTTCCATTCATTACCCCACAACAGTTCGGCATGCTGGCTGGTGTTACTGCCATGTTAAAGTGAGGAGCCTTGGCGTCTTGGGTTCCTGAGAGATGACGTTGCCATTATGTGGCTCTTCACGACTATCCCACAGGCCCGCAGTTGGAATGTGGCAGAACTGGGAGCTGAATCCAGGACAGTGGTTTCCTCATCTGCTCTAGCCAGGAACAGGCCAGGCCACCCTTCTGGACACAGTCTATCCCACGTGGGGACAGATTGGCCAGCCCCAGCCCATGGGTCTCAATGCAGCCAGAGCTGCTGTGAGAAATCTTGTTTGTTTTAGCCTTTGGAGTCCTGTCTGTTCTCTGACCTCTGACCCAGAACTGTGTGTTCCAACCACTTCCCAATCTGTTGCCCTGGCTCAAAACAAAGTGAACGAAAGCTCTTTCCTCAAGCCCTGCTCTCATACTCGAGGGCTCTGTGAAAATGAGTGGTGTGGGCATGTGGCTGGTGAGTTACTGTGGCCCTAAAACGAGCAGGAAAATAGAGGGCAGGTCCGGGCCTCGCAGGGCTCTAATGGCAGGGAAGCAGGAGGGTCAGCATCAGGAGCCTGGCCTTTGGCCCGCAGAGACCTGAGTCCTCCCCTTACTCCTGAGCTGTGTAACCTTAGGCAGGGAACTTACCCCTCTGGGCCTCAGCTTCCTCACCAGGAAAGCAGGGCTGATCATAGTGCATGGCTTATAGAGCAATTTTGAGGATTTCATGAACAAAAATACAAAGGTAAAGCAGTTAGCCTTCTGCCTGGCATGATTAAGCCCTTAGGAAACTGTAGTTGTTGTTATTTAGTAGCCAAGAAAATATAGAACACTCAATCTGTTGGCTCCCTGGTGTTTCCAGAACTGTCAGCAAACACTTCCACATCACCAACCAGCAGGGCCATTCATCAAACACCTTTGCTTTTGTCTGTCAGGCCTCCCGCTTCAAGAAGTGTCCCTGGGTTTAAGTCAGTAACGTCCTAGGCAGGGAAAGTTGCCTCATACATGTGACACGCGAGCACGTCTCTAAAGGGGCAGAAGATCTGGCAAAAATCTAGACTCTCAACTTGTCTGTTTCCTGAGACACCCACAATTGGCCTCATGGAAGCGGTTGACTTCTTCCCATAGCTGGCTGTGTCTTACTTGGTCGCCTCCTCCAAGCCCAGGGCCAGCCCTGCCTGGCTGGGGGATCGTGACAGTCTTTGTTCTCATATGGCAAAGTGTTCTGAGAAGAGGGTAAGATCATTAGTTAGCTGTCAGCCTCCAGTGTGATTAGGGCATGAGTAATTCTACTAGAAAGCCAGAGCACTGGCAATTCATTTGGTCGAGAACATTTTATCTACTTGTACGGCGTAGCGAGGAAATAAATGGAACAAGTTATATAAAAATCTCTGTCAACTGAACAATTCCTTACCAATCCAACAAGATGACGACGATGCCACTTTTCCTACCTGTGAGAGGTCATGTACAGACACATGCACACGCACACACCACATTATACCCCCCACCACAAATGGGTGCACCCTCCCTCCCCGCCCCACATACACACTGGTGCACACATACACGCCACACCACTTTCTGTAGTTAGGAAAGGATCACGTGCAGCCTGAAGGACTGGTTTGCGTAACGGGGGCATATTTCTGCTAGTGTTTTTGTTCCTGCAGTCAGGCCTGGCCGTTGTCTGAAAGCAAACCTCAAGGACAGGACTTTCGGGACTCTGCAGCCTCTGCAGGCTGCTGCTCCACCACAGGACGTCCAGCAGGTGGCAGTGCACCCCGCGCGGACCCGGCTTGCCTGTCTCGGCCCGGGGGAGTCCGTTTGACGCGCAGTCGGGACGCGGGTCTGCACGCACCTCGCTGCAGCTGCGGCCAACGCAAGCGATTTTGACACACAGGCTTGACGAGGGTCTTTGCCAGAAGCAATGGGGATCTGGCGTCACCGCACAATGGAAAACAAAGTGCTGCTGCCTGGCTGGCCAGAGTGCACGTTTGCTCACTATTGATGCCGGGGCATTTACAGGCAGAAGGAGTTCATGTGAAATTTCAGGGTCTGCCATGACTCAGATTCACTTTCTGTAAACCAGAGTCAACATTCCATTTCCCTTTACTCTGAGCCATTCCTTGAGTTTTTAGGTCACCAGTTGTTTTTGTACTGACCGAAGGGATTTGAGTATTTTTTATGCACCTTATTTTTATTATTATTTCTAGGGCATTACCAATTTGGGACGGATCTGTAGTGTGAGAGATTGTTGTCCCTCTTAGCTCCAAACATAGATCGGCTTTATATGTTATTTACATGTTCAGAATTATATTGTGTAGAAATTCAAGTGAAACTTGCGAAATACTTTTCTGGCAGGAAGCCCTGGAGAGGATCGTTCATGGAAACAAGGATGACGACTGTGGTAAGAAATGCAGGTGACTCGTGAGTGGGCAGGGCGTGGAAGAGAAGATGGCTGGAAGGTTTTAGCATTCAGAAAAAAATGGAGACAACTAGAGTTGATCTGAAGATTATGGCAGAATTCAATACTGGGGCGAAGAAACAAGATGGGGGTTAGAAATTAGAAACAGCAGAGCTCTGCAGGTTGGAAAGGATTTGAGCAAGAGAACAAAAAGGAGCCTGCTAATAGCACCCTGGGTTTACATCAAGAGAAGCACCTGGAGAGAATTAACTCAGGAGGAGGTAGGGGCATGGGAAACCTTTTCATCTCCAAGAGCGGACAGGAACAGCAGCTGGCCTGAACTTGAAGGTACACCAGGTAGCTTGCCTGGGCCAGGAGAAGGTGATTCTCTTCTATGCCTCTCTCCAGTGCCCTGCTTCTGATGCTGCTCCTCTACCCGTAGTGCGGGGAAGATATATCCCTAAGAAGTTCCCTGCACCCCATTCCTTGTTCTGGCTAACTGGTCCCCTAGGAATTTTTCTCCTAATTTTCAATTCCCCTTCTCACCTGGTGAAATCTTAAATCTTGCTGTTCAATAAAAGTTCTTCTACCAAAATGTCTACACCACGTTGAATTTTTTGTGTTTCCTTTGTTTTTAGTTCCTGGGGAGTTTTACTTAGAAAAAAAAGCCTCTGGGGACTAGATAAGGAAGGAAACCTTCCTGTGGACCCTCTTGAGCTCTGTTTTCTTTCCTGGCCTCACTGGTGTGAGCCCACTGACTGCCCTACTGATCTCTTGCTTTACTGGATTTGGGTGAGGACTGAGGAGAGGGACAGGAGGGTATTCACTGGACACTATTCAGACTAAAGGATTAGATGTCCCAGGTGAGTAAGCAAGAAAGCAAATACATAAACAAACAAAACTTCTGAATGTTTTCAATCCAAGTGGAGCAGAATTTAGCTTTTCCAGCTAAACTGCCCCACCCCTGGCACCCAGGGAAAATGGTGCTCGTATTGTAATATGTTCTCATAGATGCATGCAATATTATGAGTAATTTTTGCCTTGTGATGTAAATTCTTTTTTCCTCAGTCAGGAAAACATATTGTAGTTGGAAAAAAAAAAAAAAAAAAGACCAAAGAATTCTGGCCAGGCGCGGTGGCTCATGCCTGTAATCCCAGCACTTTGGGAGGCTGAGACGGGTGAATCATCTGAGGTCAGGAATTCGAGACCAGCCTGGCCAACACGGCGAAAACCCATCTCTACTAAAAATACAAAAATTAGCCGGGCATGGTGGCAGGTGCTTGTAATCCTGAGTAGTAGGCAGCTACTCAGGAGACTGAGGCAGGAGAATTGCTTGAACCTGGGAGGCAAAAATTGCAGTGAGCCGAGACTGCACCACTGCACTCCAGCCTGGGTGGCAGAGTGGACTCAGTCTCAAAAAAAAAAAAAAAAAAAAATGCTGATCCTTTTTGAGTGTGTGTATGTGTTTTATGTGTGAGTGAGAGGACACAAATTTAAACTGAAACTTTGCTAAGTAATAGGTTATAACTGATCTGGATACATCAGGGTAGTGAGAACAGTAAGTCTAGAAAAGAAAACAGTTGTTACCAATACACATACACTCTCCCACACATAGAACAATGCCTGGGTCTCCTGCATTTTCATATCTGCTGAACAGGTAGCATGAATTCACATCATTTCAGCGATGGGGAAATGGAAACTCGCAGAGAGCTTAACTGAATTTCCTGAGACCATGGGATGTCAGAAGGGCCACTAAATCTTTCAACTTCCAACTCATACTTTAAACTCCTGCTTCTTATCCTTTTCAAAGTGACAGGGGAAGACCAGGTACAGATCTGTAAAGTGCCTCATTCCATTTTCAGAGGAGCTGAGGTCAGGTGCCTCCTACAGTCAAGGTCTCGCCAAGAAGACCGTGGCCACATTCCTCAGTTCCCTGGCGAGTGTTTTGACACCTGGGTGCTCCTGCCTGATGAGCCCAGCATTCATGAAGCACATGTGACAACAGCATGACTGGAATATTGCTCAATATTTTCAGGTCGACGGCACTGGCTGCATGTAATTTGAGAGGAGTGTAGAATGTCAGCCGGACTTTTATGACGCACCCCTCTCCTCTTCCTGAGAATTGTTTGCATGTGGAGATTTCCTGCCTGTATTTTTAGTGTCAAATATTTTTGTGGTTGCTCAAGTACCTTCAGCCATGTTTTACTGGCTTACGCAGAAGCCCTGATGCCCCTGATAAAACTGATGACCATTGAATGGAAAGAAGTCAGTGTGGAAAGCCCAGGAACTGTCCCATAGCTGGCCCTGTGGGTTTGCACTGATTCCTCAGAACAAGTTTGCAGATAGCTTAACTTCCAGAATTCCTGAGTTTCAGTAGTCCCCCTTCTTTATGATGAATTGGAAAAAGGGTATATTCTGGGGTAAAGCAAAAGGGAATTGGGTGCAGCAAAGATCCCTAGACCATTTTTCCCAGTGGCCCATTGCTCCTTCTGCTTTTTCTATGCCAGCTGAATCTCCCCAAGCCCCACGTCTGCGGCAAAGTCTTCGTGGTGAAACAGGTGAGTCACACTTTTCTGCTTCTCTGCAATTACAAGTGTTATCACCTCATCTGACAGAGAGAGGGTGTTGGTTGGAAATACGCATTAGGAACAAACTCTTTGGAAACAGCAACACTGCTTTCATGAAATGAAGACTTTTTTTTAGAAAGTCTGGAGTTAAAGTTATAAAAATAAAGAGGAGTCATCTCCCTTTCCTTCTCCTACAATAATGGAAATGAAATATCAAAGTAAACGGCACCGCATCCATGTCCTCAGGACATGTGACTCGCTAACCATGCCAGCCACCCCATCCCTTCTCTCCCATCTTCTTTGCTGTTCTCACTGTCTCTCAAGACCTGATTTAACACCACCTTCACTAAGAAGTCTTCTTGGCCCCCTTCTGGTCCTTCACGGAATATTATTTTGCTTCTGAAACTTAAAAAAACAATTTTGTTCTCAGGTCATTCTCTGTGTACATCCCATTTCATCCATCCTACGGATTAGATGTTCTTCCAGGGTAGAGGCGACCCCACCTCATGTCTTTTTATTCTCCCTCTGCTTTTTATTCCCATAGGCAGTCTTCAGTATGAGACGCATCGATCTCAGATCTTATTCAATTCCAACTTGTACCAATCAAAGGCCCTCCCAGCGAAGATAAAAGCAAAGTCTCCTTCCTCCGGAGCACGTGGGAATGGCCCCCCAATAGCTGGGGCATGCAAGCTGATGAAGTTTCATCTTCCACTTCTACCCAGATATGACCTTGCTGATACCATCTCCTATTAGATGACAAATCCGGATGTTTCTATTGCATGGTTGTTATTTGCCACATGCTTTCCTGGACAAGTTTCTAGGTAACCTTCATGTCTGTGCTTCTGGGGAAGGAGGAGTAGAAAATAACTCACCTCTTCAGTAAGTGGTTTTAAAAATATAACAGTGTTTAAAAGCTTTTAGAGAGCAGCTCTCCTTCCGGCTGCTCCAGCTCTGTTTGCTTTGTGATAGGAGCCCCCGTAACGCTTCGTGCTTGGCAACATCTGATGAGGACAGAAGGCAGGTTTACAGCTGAGAAGATTGATTTTCCCTTTGTAGGGCTTTCCATGAGGGGCGTGGGAGAGAAGTCACTTGGGGAAGCAGTGGTCAGTGAGGTGTACTTCTCCATATGCTCCACATTCATGTGTAAGGCTAAACAAACGCGCTGTCTCCGCAAGCACATCCCACACCACAGAGAGGAGCAGTTTGTCCTGGAGGTCCTAAGGAGGCGACCAGTGACCTGGGGGGTAAAAGGTTGGGGCTCTTGGGGCCTTTCCACTCACTCTCATTTCCATCCTAAACTGGCAGGGGAAATACACTCAAATTGCCTGTGTGTTTCGATTTGATGTGGCCACACTGGGACCACTCAGGATGGCTCGGTGCTGCTGAGCTCCACGGTTCACACTAGGCCCGACTGTCTAGTTTTAGAAAGTGGGAGGAGATTTCCCCTCTGCCAGGACTTGGGGTTTATGTCCCCCAGAGCATTGAGCAAGAGCCTCATGTTTACAGAAATCTCCCTCCCCATGATTTCTTCCTGTCGGGGTAAAAGGAGAAGGAGTAGGACAGAATGTGGAGTAGATCTTGCCACTTCAGTCCCTTTGTTCTTGCCCAGCACGAGGCTACCAAGGAAAGGATACGTGGGGCGCTGGGGGCGAGGGTATGTATTGGTTGTCTGAACTCTGAAAATACAATATTAAAATTGGCATTGTAAATGAAATCATTAGGTCTTCTGCATATAGTTCTATTTTTTCCAAAACTTCATAAAGCTGTCAAAAATACCTACACTATATTTTAAATGCTGTGGGCAATGTAGTTTTTTAAATTTTATTTTAAAGTGCTATTGTAATTCCTTTAAGAGATGTACACTGTCTACCTGGTTTAATTTTTGTGCAAATATGTATATATACACTATATATATATTTACACATATACACATACATGTATATATACACGTATATATTTCAAAGTTTTTTGAAATCTAGTGATTTCAAATGAACTCTAGTGATTACTGTATGATTTTTGAAATCATACAGTATTTGGTAGTAACTAACAGCTGCTAAGTCGATCCCTAATCTTCTCAACCTCATCTGGTGTGACTTAGAGCAGAAATGGTCCAACCAGCGCAGCAAACATGTACCCACCCAAGTTGACTCCTAGGGGCATTTTGTCCACAGGTGCTTCTACCTTGGTGTGTAAACTCCATCTTACAATTTAGGATAATTTGGTTATATAGTACCTCCTACGTCTTAAAATAAAAACATCAATGCCCATTTTATATAGTGGGTCTATGTAGGATCTAGTGAAAATATGCACTTAAGTCTTTTAGAAGACATGAGAGATTGAGGTCATACAATTCTTTTTCCATATGTGAAGAGAGTAAATACTTAGTGTTCATCAACTCCACAAAAATGAAGATTCCAAACTACTCCAAAAGACTCTGAAAGTATTGGGTTCTATAATTGCCTTAATTGGGGTCATGCAAAGGTGGAACAATAAGAGCTGAATAGTTCATGTTAAGGCAGATCAAGGCTTGACAAGTTCCAGATTTCCAGCAGGATTTAACTCCTGATTCACATCAGCTTGGGGTGCAAGACTCACTGGGAAGCAGGGAGTAGCAAAAATTAGTCTGTAGAACTCTAGAAAGCAGTACCTGATAAAGACCTTTAAAGTTTCCATGAATCAAAGATATTAAGATTCATTTTCTGCTACCCCATCTTCAAAATAAAAGCTATTCAAAGCCAGAACATAAATAGAAAAATTTCTCCCATGGTAACCACCTGGTTGATTAAAATATTTTTAATTTTTCCTTCTCTCCTGTGAATTGCTGCTGCCCTAAACATGTGCATGGTCTGCCTGTTAGCTTCCTAAGCACATCTGGCAAGGTCGAGGAGATGAGGAAGGGCAGCTATGGAGGTGGGCATTTGGGAGAATGTAAATGCAAGGCTGGGGACAGCTCTCACTGGAGGGTAGCATGACTGCCCAGCCAACAGCCAGATAGAATAAAGGGACAGCCCCGGCTAGTGCTCCAGAGTAGGTGGATTTCACAATGTATGGAACGGCTCCTTTTAGGTCCGAAATGCTGCATACTTAGTTTATGATTTCCAAACATTCATCTTCTGGCTAGAAGACTGGAGGCAAACAGACAGCTCATTAGGAAAATAACCAAAGAGCTAAATAAAATGGAGGAAGTAGGCAGCAGATCCCAGCCAGACAAGTGTGGCTCACAGTCCTTCATGAGAGATCAGAGGCCAAGCCAAACCAATGCGTCCGTCCCTCAAAGGTCATTCGTCTAGGGCTTTGTCAAACCAGGAAGGGAAGGGAGTTTCAAAGGGCCTTTTGTGGAACACACACAGCTCTGGCCCCTGAGATTCAAATCAGGACCGGGAAACCTGTGTAGCAACTGGCTGCATGTACAATGCTTAGCGACCAGCCAGGGCCCTCCAGCCTCCTCTTCTTTTTATGAGCACGAAGTTTTCCCTGTAGATGGGAAAGAGATAATTAAAAAACAAAACAAAAATCTGTCCTAATTGCAATAAAAAACAACCAAGACCTAGAGTTATTTGTGAATAGAACCAAATATGTTAGATATTTTTTGTTGCATGTGATTCAACAAACTATATAGAAATTATATTTACAAAGCCAAGCCATTATTATTTGCATCAAAGATCATACTATGTAGTGGCAGCATGAGAAATGCATCAAATATACATGCAGAAATGCATCAAATATACATTTATATATTTATGTGTGTGTGTATGTATATCAAAACAAAGCAAACCTATGAGGAGATCAGCAGTAAACTTGTTAAAAATTGAGATAGAAGTTAAGGTAGATTCTCTGTTGTTTCTGATTTCCAGGTTCTTTTGCTGGATCCTCCCTTCCATGTACATGATCATCTCTTTCTTTTCCTTAGGATGGCCAATGATACTTCTCTGTCCTCTTTTCTCTTCTGTGAGTGTTATGAACATTAAGAGCTTTCCCAGAAAACTTTTGGGCATTGTGCCTATATTTAGTTTTTGTTGTTGTTGTTTTGAGATGGAGTTTTGCTCTTGTTGCCCAGGCTGGATTGCAATGGTGCGATCTCAGCTCACTGCAACCTCTGCCTCCCGGGTTCAAGCAATTCTCCTGCCTCAGCCTCCCAAGTACTTGGGATTACAGGTACACGCCACCATGTCTGGCTAATTTTTTTGTATTTTTAGTAGAGAGGGGGGTTTCACTATGTTGGCTAGGCTGATCTCGAACTCCTGACCTCAGGCGATCCACCCGGGTCGGCCTCCCAAAGTGCTGGGATTACAGGCGTGAGCCAGTCTGTATTTGGTATTTTGCTCCTCAATCTCATTCAGTTTTCAGTCAGCACACAGTTCTTTCTTTCTGTTTATGTCATTTTATTTAGTTTCACCAAAGGGCTCTGGGTTCCTCAGATGTTGTGTTGTGAGAAGAAGAGCAGGCCCAGAGAGCAGAAGAATCCCCAGCCTGGGTCAGGACTCACTTTCTCGTCTGAGGCCCCCAACTGGTCCTTTAGGTTCTCTGAGATTCAGCTTCTGCAGCTGCTTACCTCACAGAGTTGCTATGGACATCAAACCAAATAATGACTATAAAAGCACTCATGTAAATTATGTGTTATTATTAGAAAAGTTTCCGTTTTATACCAAGACAAAGGAACACTGTTATTCATTTGACATGTTTTCTTTTTATTCTTATTCATTTTACATGTTTTCCCCTTCTATTTCTGTC